CCCCTCTCCCAGACTGAACTTCACTCCTTCATTCCTGACTCGTCTACCCACCCCCAGTGGCGCAGAGGGCTATGGTCAGTCCAGAACAGTTCCTCTCTGCTGTTCCTTCCTCTTCACACTTTTCCCCTGCTATTGCGTGGGCTCTCCACGGATCACAGTTCGCATCAGGAAATGCCCATCTGCTCCAGTGTGGGGTCCTCCAAGGGCTACAGTGGGAATACCTGCTCTGCTGTGGAGCACTTCCTCCTCCTCCTCCTTTCTCTGACCTTGGTGTTCCCTCTGTTGTTTTCACTCTTTTTTTCCCCCTCCTTCTCTGCAGCTCCCTTGCTACCAAAACCTTGCCATCTACACTCAATACAGGTGATAATGCTGGTCACAGTAATGAAGAAGGTACCAGAATATCCTCAGAAGCCTGGGCTCTGTTTGGAACAGTCTTTCCCTTAAGGCCAAGTGACTACTACCCAGAATCTGTCTCACGAGCCACTGTGAAAAAATGGGAATAAAGCCCACTAATAAAGCCCATGTAATTCTCTCATAATCTAAACACAGATAAAATTCACATAGATTCTCAGTTAAAAATTCCTACAAAAGCAAATGCCATGCTAATAAAAATTTAATTTCTATGAGCATTTTTCACATAGTCTGGATAGAAAAGAAAAATGTTATGTGTTTCTGATTGAGAGCCATTGCTGAATTCTTCTCAACTTCTAGAGTTATTTAAATCAAAGGATTTCTCTGTTTTCCCGTGAAAAACATTGATTTAGGCAAACACTCTCAGTAGCTGATCAGTAGCTGATCTAGTAGTGTGATGCTCCCTACAGAAAGGATTGTCTGAGAACATAAGAGATTGAGGATCTGTCGGTCCCTAATCAAATATACTGCTTTTCTACACTAATTTAATCTCTAGGAGATATCCAGAAATGTGATTTTTTTAATAGCCTTCCTGAAAAACACTGATACTATTTTGTAAAATGAAGTTATGCCTGCTGTTACTCCACAATATGTCCCTCCATTCTCCATTGCTGCCTTCAGATAGCATATCTTCACTCTTAGTCTCTCCCACAAGTCCTTTAGAAAACACACAAGATCTAACTTTATTCTTATACTGGCGCTACATAAAATGACCTTACCTTTCAGGTTACAGGCCCATTTTTTCGTATGATGCTCTGGCATCCTGAACTGTCTTGGCTTTTCATTTCATCAGTCAAACTTTTGTTTTTAATTTGTATTTGTTGAATGAGTGATATTGTAATGAGTATAACTGGCTCTTTGATTTCCAGACCAGGGGAATGAAAGATCAGTAGGATATGCCCTATATAGAGAAAAGTAAAATTACTGTGTAGACTATCAAACCCGATCTTGTATTCAACAATACTTATGAATGCTTGATCAGTTTCTCACAGCAAGTTCACTGAGATACTAAGTTAGCTTTGGGAAAAAAGAGAGGAAGAGGGTATTCTTCCAGAAGAAAAAAGTATTTGTGGCTCTCAAGAAAGCAGCATTGCAGCATTGACTCTACCACACTTTTCTTGAAATTGTGCTTTTTGAAGACTATTTCTTAACCCTAGAAACTCTCACTTCTCATGTCACAGTTTTAGGATCTTGTAAGTAGTGCCTCTTTCATCCCCCATCATTTTACAGGTTAGTTTTATTGGTGTGAGTTCTGTTTGCTGCAGTGGAAAGGCTCCTGCTTTGTACTGAGTTAGAACAGAACAACTTTCATATGCTTTTCCTTTAAAAGTTCAGCTTTGGGAAGTCAGAAAAATGTACTGAAGCTACTCAGTTATTACAAGATTCTTCCTCATAAAGTTTGCTTCCCCATATAATCATGTCATTAGCAGAGGTATCCTTGAGAGGGCTGGCCTGTCACTTTAAACTAAGATCTCTATTACCTGCTGTTGTGGCTGGTGTTTGGAGTGGGAGCAGAAATTTGGGCACTGGAATTGACAGCTCCAAAGGTCTCAGGCTTCCAAATTAAATCATTATTTAAATACAGAAACAAAATGGGAAGAGCCCTTTATGGGATCTTTCATAATATATTTCTAATATTTCCAATAAGTGTTCTCAGGGATCCAACCTGCACTGAGAAATGGCATAAACCTCTCAAATCAGAGATTTTATTTTTAAAATAAAAGCAAGATATAGTGTGTTAGAAGTTACCTTGGTGTCCAGACATAATGAAATGAGGTGTATTTCTCCATCCCCAATTTGCACATGATATAAAAGAGGTCAATTTAACAGTGTGATTTGCAGTCAACAGCTTCCCAAAGCGCTCAAAGAAAAATGTATCTTCTCATTTCTAATCAGACTTATGAATAGATAGGGATGCTTTTATATGCACTTGGAAGTCTCTTACTCTGTGAGTTGGCCCATTCACTGTGATTTTTCCTGGAACGTGGTACTACCCAGGGTACCTATGCGTATCATAGCCTCTGCCATCATTTTTAATAAGTAGCTTATCTCTGTGATGCAACTAAAAGCAATCCTGAGTGTCTCCAGGGTTTGTTGTAATTAAATTTTATTGTTGTATTTGAAAATGTACAGTTTTTGAAAACTGGAGAAAAAAAAAATGGAAAGGAGATTCTAGGAGGTGATAATCTGATTTTTAGAAGGTTTTAACCCTTTGTAGTTTCCAGATTCACAAGCTTACTTATGCTCCCCAAGTAACTGTTCCTATACACAACTGAAGCCATAAACTATAGCAGCTAGTGTAGTTTATTAGTTGATGTCAGGTGACCATGCAAAGATTATCATTTATACCTGCGGTCAGATGCTGTAAGGTCATAGGTGCAGTAATTTTTTGGTGCCTAATAAGATTGTAGAAGGCCTTTTCTGAAAGTCTTACACTTTTGCTGCTGCCCCTTTCTTCTCCGAGTATTTACAGCTGCAAGGGAGTTACTCCAAGTCCCAGTGCTGCCCATGAAGTGGTGCAAAGAAAGGCAGGGTTTACCAGCTTCTGATCTGGACAATAAAGAAATGTCACTGTTTTGAGCAGAAAACTGACAAGTTTATCTATTCTGTTATCTGGCATTATACTGCCATGCTCAGGCACCACCACCCAAGTCACTGAGGAGTGCATGACACTACATTTGGGTTCACACAGTGGAATTGCTTGCACTCCCCACTGGGGGACTGAGCTTTGCCTTTGTCATTGTGCCCTTCTCCGCTCTCTTCACAGCTCATCAAGACTGCTAATCAAGCAGTCATTGCAATTTCCGCCTTTCTGTTTTATTCATGTTTGGCTTTCTTACCATGGAATGCCACAGACTGGTTTTGGAGGTTCATATAACAATTTTTTCCAAATCAAAATATTTCCTCCAACAATGTCATCTTTTCTGTCCAGCATTGCTACTAATCTTTATTTAGTTTTTTACCTTACAATTTCTAGAGGGATTGGATGTGCCCAAGGCACCCCTTTAGGCAACACTTTATATCAAGGTTCCATTTATAAATACTTCATGAAGGGCTAATGAATGATTAATAGATGTTTTAATGTATGACCAATCAATTGTTGTAGATTTCGCAACATCCAACAGACAAGTAGGTTTCTTATAAGCATAGGTTATAACCATATCTGACATCTTCTACTGATGGGCTTCTAAACATCTATAACATACACACTACTCATATCTGTAACATGCTTAAAACATCTACTAATCACTGATTAATTTTTTATAACCTATTTTGAAGCAGAGCTTGTCTGTGGAGTACATCCCTTACTGGTGTCTGTGACTCTCCATTTCTATAGGATTGATAATTTACTCGTCATCTAAGAAATTAGAACTCTTACTGATTTCAGCTCAAACATTAAGCTTTTCTGAGTTAGCATCAGCATTTTCACCTCAGCCTAAGAAAAAATGTCTTTGCTGTCCCCAGACTTTTTCCCTTCAAAATACTGGCTACTTTACCCTGCTAATGTGTGTTTTGCAAGCTCTGCTAAAATGCAGTGATTCTTAGGGGGCAAACCCACTCTAAAATACATTTTCAGCCTGTTGAACTCAGTTTGTTTGATTGTTCTCAGGACAGCTGTCCCAGTGATGACGGTTCCCAGCTTTTTTTTTTTTTTTTTTTTTACTGTCATCGCTGTGTGCTTGGTTCAAAGTTTGTTCATTCTCAGAAAAGAAGGATGAGAAAGTATAAACTTCACAATAATCAAGTGAACAAGCCATCTCCCAGAGGACTTTTGATTCTGACAGAGGTACACACATTTTTTATGTCTGATAAACCCAAGTGTTTATAGGAGTGTTCCTCTGTGGGATTCCCATTGTCTCCTAAGGTGAAAGGCACGACTGTGCTCTATGCTTTATATGGAGCACCCAGGTAGAACTGACTGAAGTGGGCAGTACAACTCACTTCCTGAAAATTTATGAGTCCTGCAATTAATCATTTGCAGTTGAGCAGCAGTAAGTTGCTTAGTATCATATTTTGCAAATGAATTTTTAATTTTTAGTTGATTTCTACCAAACTTAATCACAGGGTTGAGTCCTCTGCTGTGATTTATCTAGATGTTGAGACCAATTCTTTAATGATATAAATTAAAAGGATCTGCAGGTTTTTCTCATTTCTGGGGTCATTAGAAAAATACTCTCTGTTCTGAATATCCCCAAGTAAATATCCCACTCCCATTCAAATCAAATGCTAGTCTTTCACTGATTGCTGTTTACAGAAGGATTAGACTGCTACACCTGCGGCATTAGCACATTGAACCTAAAGAAACACATCAAGCATAACTCAAAAAAAAAAAAAAAAGAGAATAAAGGGTAAAAAAAGAGAGTTTTATTCTTCAATATTAACATGGAATTTCCTCTGGCTTTTTTAAAAACGTTCATTGTCAAAAACACCAAAGCCTCAGAAACAAGAACCTCTCAAAACTACTCAAGCTCTTGGAGTAGACAGTTTTTTACCCACGTTAGCACAATCACTTTTATGTTATCCAGTTAGCATTCTGTGTTTCCGTGTTTATCGGGGGTTTTACCATGATCTTTTCTTTCCTTTTTCAGCTGGTTAATAATCCACTAGCAAGTCAAGCAGCAGCGGCTGCAGCAGCAGCAGCCATGGGCTCAATAGCAAGCTCCCAGGCCTTTGGCAATGCCCTCTCCAGTCTTCAGGGGGTCACAGGTCAACTCGTCACTAATGCACAAGGACAGGTGAGTAGAAGATGGAGCAAACAGTGAATTCTGATGGCAGGCTGATCTTGGGACAAAAATGAGTTCCACTTGCATGACAGCAATTTAAAAGTACACATATTGAAGATAAATAAATATTGATTTGCCAGACAAGGTAAGAAATGGAAAGTCTGAGAACTGTGAGGAAGTTAGGAGCTGTTAGAAAGTGTTGTCAAGCCAGAAAAGGCTTAGGGTTTGTTTTATTTTAATTCACCCTTTTGAAAAGATCACAATAGTGCAATAATATGGTGTTTTAAAAGTCCAGCAACCCTGCGATTCTTAACAAACGTACCAGCTGTCTTCTTCCACTTATATATGCCTAATAACAGACAATTATATTAAAGTGCTATCGTACTATTAAGACTACACTTTTTCCCAAATTGTAGCATTTATGTATTACTTCATTTCTGAAAAGGTATTAAATGTTTTAAGTAAAGGAACACAATTTAAATTGTAATGAAGTATCTGGGATGAATTTAACTGGGCGGCTTACTCATTTGCTGATTAACTAAGTTAAGCAATTTGCAATGAATCTGCCAGTCTGTAATGCAAATTTGGAAGAAACTTTAGCTTTAAAGAAAATTTTCCAAACAGAAACTTGAACAATGTTTATGGTGTGGCTAAGAGAGAGATTGTGCATTATCTGCATTTGGGAGCTGTTCATTTGTTGCAAACTATTTCACTTTCAGTCCTAATATGATGCAGAAGGGTATGCATCTGAATCCATATATATATAAATAATTCCACTGATGCAGCATGCTTAAGTAGCTTTCAGATTTTGGCCACTGTCATTCTTTATTGCATTTACTGGGACTAAAATTAACACAACTACTTGTTCACATAAAGTCACTGCAACAAATCTGTCAATATAACTTATGACTGGACTCGGTAACTGAGCAATTTAAATGTCATTATTCTAAATGCTACAAATTGTGTGTAAGGTGATATCCACAGTGCTTATGTGGTTGTTAGGCCCTGGTAAACATTTATTGAAATGATGCAGCTTGGACGATATGTGAACCTAAAGTTTAGTTTCTACTCTTCCTGTTTACTACGGGGGAAAAAAAACATGAAGAGCAGTTTTTTTCCTGATAATTTTCTATCACTGTGTTATTTAATTGGAACAGGGTTGACATTTTTTATTTTGGCCCATTAAAAAATAAAAGACAACACCTTATAGGAGCCCCCTTTTTTTTTTTAACATAACACATAAACAAAGATGCATCCTGAGCTTCACTATCACTATACAAGTCCCAGGAAAAAAAAATGCTGACCTTGTTATATTTACTGGGTGGGTGCAGAATTGTTCCATCACTACCCCGAGGGTTGAACGATGGAGCTTGTCAAAGTGAGGCCTTATCTAATGAATCATCTTATCGCAGGTGCACACCACACATATTAAAGGAGGATTGTATGAACAATGTGCCCTCTACAATAACCTTTCAATGTCTACTTTAACCCTTGTTTCAATCCCTTTTCATCAAAGGATCATTTTATGCAGCCAGCTTTAAATGGAGGCTCTCAAAAGCCTATTAAGATTTCTGGAGGGATGGGGTATTGGTTTGGAAGAAAAGTTGGTTATAATACCTATAACTCATAGTCAGATCAGCTCCAACCTAGAAGCCTGCTTGTTTCTATCTGTGCTCCAGAAATGGTTCACAATGGCCACTCACATGAGGCACTTGGCACCAAAGATGTTCACTGTAAGAGCTGAAGATATAAACCCAGACTAGTTTTTCTATAGTTTTCCCTTTACATGTTCTCCACAGAAAACATAAGCGAAGTGTGGCCATTCATTGTATGTTTAAAAAAAAATACTACTGTGAAGATATTACTGAATGAAACGATAGATTCCCTCAGGCTGAGTCTTGTTTATTCCACACATAATGTAAAGTCCAATAATTCCACAAGTTGCAGAGAAAGAGAAGAGAAAGGAAGAATCTTCCCTATTGTTGGGTGAAATTACAGAATCTATCTGTTTGCCTAGCTCTTTTAAATAAGGGCTGTCTTTTTATTACTTGTTTTTACAAATGTTCCTTGGTTTATAATCAGTGCTACAGACCTCGCCACAATATAGATAAATATTGATAATAAGTGTGTAATATAACACCCATTTTTATAATATTCAGCATAAACCCATATTGTTTAGGGCACACTTCTGAAGCTATCTGTCTACAAAACAGGACTATTCAATGTAATTAAACTACATTCCAGAAATTAAATTACATTCCCTGCAAATTAATGAAGTTATAGCAACTAAACAAGAACTGAAAGGTACGTTTCTTCAAAATCGGGAGCGTAAGTGGATAGTAATTTGTGATACTCCATTTCTGAATGATCTGCTTGGACTTGTTAAGGAGCCAGATTTCCATCATATGTTAAGAATCTGTCCTTTGAAAATTGCCCCTTTCAAAGAATCACAAGTGTGACACCCAAAATTCACTCCTGCAAATATAAGGCTGGATGACTTATCAGACTGCACGTGCAATCTTTGTAATTATATGCTGCTTCTGTTATAGAAATTCAGGGCTTGTAAATGTCCATCTGTCTAGCTAAATATATGGTGATCGGTAATCCCTGGAGACATTAAGCTATAGGTCAAATCCAAGATCCTATGGCAAATTCAGGGAAATGGTCTTTTAAATGACATATGGCATGGCCTTAATTCCCAACAGTCCAGGAGTTCTTACAATCACAGTAACAAAATTATATATATTAACAATAATTTATATAGCATATTTGTTATTAATTTAATTATTGAATTCACAATTATGGTATGATAATTTTTTTGGTTTTTTTGCTTTGGATGGCAACATGAGCTGTAATACCAGAGCTCCCCAAGACCACTGTAGCAAAGAGATCTAATCCATTGGAATAATATGATTAGATCGCTTGATTAATTTGCGATAGTACAGGTAGAAGACTCTAAATCAAATTTTCATTTTCAGAGGCATATTATGAAAAGCTATTGGCCCATGTAACGGTGTTTACACTCTGTTTGCCCTCAGCACTTTCCAGGAAACATTCACAGGACTGGGCTTTCATATCTTAAATTTAAAGGCCAGGGTAGCAGAATTGCTAAATTCCACCCTGTCAGTAGATACACGGATTTCAAAGAGAAGCTGTCTACCCTCTTGGCTTCAGCCTCCCCTTATAGTAGGATCCTAGTGCCATTGCTGCACTTGGCTTCTTCAGAGATGTAACAACCAGACATCTCTCTTTTTCGCTCTGTTATTGCAAATGAAAGAAAATATTAAGAGTTTTGAGTGGGTTTTATTATGTCTATTAAGTACATGAAATGTGTATTTTGGCTGTTTTCTTAATCTTTTTAAGGAGATGAACCACAGAAATATGGAAGCAAGTTTGATGCTTCCAGTTTCCATACGTGCTACCTGCAAGCCAGCTTCCTACTTGGCTAAAACATAGCGCTTAATTGTCATCAGTTGCTGTCGTGGTTTAACCCCAGCACCACGCAGCCGCTCGCTCACTCCCCCCGCTGGGATCGGGGAGAGAATCGGACGAGTA